GATGGAATAACAGTCACTGAAATGGATGTTACAGGGCACCGAAATGTTTCCCTTTCTCAGATTCGCTCAGGTTAGTTGCACTACCGTCTTGCTGCTAACGGCATAGAGGCACATTTAAGCCGGCTACCCTCACTGAAATAAATTTACATATATTCAAATGTATTTAAATGAGTCAGAGGATAGTACAAAATAATATGCTGCAAAATAACATGGCTCCAATGATTTCAAAGTTCAATAACTGTTCAAAGCCTTGCAGAAAACATTAATAGAATAGCAATGTATACATCTATGCGATATTGGTAATGCTTTGATTCATGTTTTATTTCTGATTAAGTACTTGAATACGAGTTTGTGATTATTAATTATTATTAATTAATGATTTACAGCATGGACTGACATTGGAAATAGTTTTACCCGTTTATTCCACGAGAAAGCATTTAGACAATTTCAGTAAATGGGTTGCAAATGCTATTGCCAGAAAGATGCAATTAACATATTAAGATTAGAAAGAATGACAAACAGTTATACCTCGATTCCTCTGCGGGATAATGGTGAGTCACCCCCGAGTCGTTCAAGCTTGTTATATTCACTTTCGCCATGCTAAAACAAATGTTTAATAGTCGTGCAGAAAGAACAACAATTCAACAGTCATTAAAAAACATTCTGCCACATCTACCACAGCCGTCATTAACAATAAGTGCATAAACTACAAATAAAGTTATACACCTAGTTGAAATTAACTTTTCAACTTCCAACGCTGCTTTTATTTCTCTTGTACAGTTTTTTCTTTTCCTAAAAAATTTTCATCCAAACGGGCGAGGCAGCAGCCAGGTAACTGAGAAAAATCTAAGCCAGACCTTTGAAAGTTACCACGGCCCATATAAGCAAAACACATAAGCTTCAGAGTGAAAGCCAGTGTAATGACGACACCTACGACGACGACGATACTGATCATGACGCTTATACACAAGAACCATAATCGTAGTAATCAATATACTTACGATAATGAAAAATTTATTTAAACTACATAACTAAAACGAATCAATCGTCTGTCAGAGATTATCCGTTTGCACAAGTCAGCAGCTGCTTGGTAGTTTCAGAGAACTGAAGCATCTAAAACTGCAAAATTCTTCTGGTTATCATAGCCATCACTAATTTCTGACAAAAGGACTTTGCAATTGGAATAAGGGCCCTGGATGATTGGTATAATGACATTAAGTCAGATTTATACTTTCATTTTTACATTTATGCATAAATGATACTTTGACATTTAAAACTGTATGAAACACGGTTTATTCATACACAGTGCAAGTAAATTGGTCAATGTGATTATTATTCAGTACCGACACTTCGGCTTTAGTCTGATATGGCTTCTTTAAATGTGTACAAGGTCGACTGCTGAAGTTCCTTCTGTGGTCGGAAGCTGCTGTATAGTTTGGAGACAAAAGGTTTGGAGACATGCCTTTGGCCCATGCTACTGGCTAAGTTGTTTTTTGGTAGCAGGTGCGCAAAGGCTTATCCAGACCATGCAAATTTAATATCCTTAGAGCTTATTCAATCCGTATGTTACGGATGCGAATCACATATTGAACTTCGGAAATCAACTCTGTTCAGCTTGAGGTAGGTCCATGAGACACAAACCGAAACATTGGTTAATCACCTGAGTGACCAATTTACTTGGTTGTGCATGAATAAACCTTGTTTTAATACAGTTTTCAGTATCATAACCAACGCACGAGCGAAACAATACACAATCACGCTTTAACATTACGTAAAAATGAATACAATTTTGCTTCTAAACTTAAGAACCTTTCTAATGCGGAAGACTACAGAAAAATAAAATTTCTAGACTGATGCAAAAAACAATGAGCAACC